TGGGCTAACCAATGCCCTCCAACCAAGGCCCTCCCAACATGGCCTTGACACAGGGCCACTGGAAGACCAACTGCCCTTTGGCACCTAGCCACGGCAGGTTATCCCTTCCACCAAACCCAGTCCCCATCCCAGCCAACCTCTTAGGCCTGGCCACTGAAGATTGAAGATGCCCAGATTCAATGACCCCCATCACCATTGCAGAGGCCAGGGTAACCCTTCAAGTAGCAGGATAAAAGAAATTACTAACTTGAACTAGCTGCTGTGACATCCATATTCTCCCCTGGCTACTGGACTTGGGCCATCCCATTCTAGCCTCTGAGCCTCAGATCTTCACCCTTCCCTCCCTAGAAGATCACCCACCTGGACAAACCACAATGTATTGTTCCTCCTTTACCTACCTAAAGACCCTTACTATAAAACCTGCCCTAATCCACCTTAGGGCAAGGTATTTCCATTGTCTGTCCCTCTGCCTCTTCCTCTCACTGCAGAACAAGGAATCCTGCCCTGGAGACCCCTTAATAAGCTTTCTTTATTTTCAATTAAAAAAAAAATTAGATACTTGGACAACCACGTGGCAATGTCATCAATACTAAAGGAAGAGTATCTTCTGATCACCTAACCAGAAGGATAAGAATGTGTCATCTGCAAGTGATGACTGTTTCAAAATAGCATATATGAAAATACTGTGTGTACTAGACAAGGCAGAAGGAGATAGTGATCTTAAAAACTGTTGTTAATGGAGCTCTGGTGGCCTAGTGGCAAGACGCTGCACTCCAAACCCAGAGGTAGAGGTTCAAATCCACCAGATGCTCTGCTGGAGAAGGAGGGGCAATCTCCTCTTGTACCAGTCAGATCTGATTTGACAGTACACATAAAAATAATACAGTAAAATTTTTTTAAAAAAACTGTTTTTAAGGAGACCAGATATTAGGATAGTAGCTAATCTTGGGAAATAGAAAGGATTTGTGTTCTGAAGGTCATTATTGTCCTCCTATATAAAGAACTCGCTCAGCATATCTTAAGCTCAAGGAACTGAAGAACAAATTCAAACCTCAAGTTGCTATAATCAAGGATGCTTTCGGCAGAATGTTAAATGATCCAGGAAGTATTAAAAGAAGATGGAAAGAATATACTGAGTCACTGTATTGAAAGCAATCGGAAGATACAGAAGAATTTCATGAAACAACATATGAGCAAGAGCCTATGGTGATGAAAGAAGAAGTTCAGGCCGCTTTGAAGGAAATGGCAAAAAAATAAGGCTCCAGGAATAGATGGTATACCAAATGACATATTTCAGCTAACAGATGGTGCCCTGGAGGTGCTTACCAAGTTGTGCCAAGAAATATGGAGAACAAGCACTTGGCCAACTGACTGGAAGAGATTGATATTTGTTCCTATCCCAAAGAAAGGTGGCCCAACAGAGTGTGGAAACTATAGAACAATATCACTGATTTCACAAACTATAGAACAATATCACTGATTTCACATGCAAGCAAGATTTTACTGAAGATCATCCAAAAATGACTGGAACAGCACATCAGCAGAGAACTACCAGAAGTCCAGGTTGGGTTTAGAAGGGGTCGTGGTACTAGGGATATTGTAGCTGATGTTAGACAGATTTGGCTTAAAGCAGAGAATATCAGAGGAATGTCTGTGTTTCATTGACTATGCAAAGGTGTTTGACTGTGTGGATCAAAACAAACTGTGGCTGACTCTGAGAAGAATGGGAATCCCAGAACACGTGATCATTCTAATGCGAAACCTATAGTTGGACCAGGAGGCAGTCATCAGAACAGAGCAAGGGAACACTGCATGGTTCAAAATTGGGAAGGGCGTACGCCAAGGATGCATCCTATCTCCATACCTTTTCAACCTATAATGCAGAACAGATTATCCAGGAAGCTGGGCTCTATGAGGAGAAATGTGGGGTCAAGATTGGGGGACGATTTATCAACAATCTGCGTTATGCAGATAACACAACCCTGCTTGCTGAAACTGAAGAGGACTGGAAGCACCTGCTGCAGAGGGTCAAGGACTGCAGCCTACAATATGGATTGAGGTTCAATGTCAAGAAGACAAAGATTCTCACCACTGGACCAATTGGTAGCATCAGGATGGATGGTGAAGAGATTGAGATTGTACACAGCTTTAGTTTGCTTGGCTCCGTAGTCAACAGTCTTGGCACCAGTAGCCAGGAAATTAAAAGGCGCATTGCCATGGGAAAGTCTGCTGTTAGGGACCTCTCTGGAGTATTGAAGAGCAATGGTGTCTCCCTGGAGACTAACGTGCGTCTGATACAGGCAGCAATCACTTGTTATGCATCAGAGAGTCGGACAATGACCAAGGAGGATAGAAGGAGAATTGATGCCTTTGAGCTGTGGTGCTGGAGAAGAGTATTGAGAACACCATGGACTGCTAGGAAAACCAACAGGTATATCCTGGAAAGGGTTAAACCAGGTGGCTCCTTGGAGGCAAGGATTCTGAGGCTCCGTCTAACATACTTTGGACATGTTGTGAGGAGAGACTGGTCCTTGGAGAAGGACATCATGCTTGGGAGGGTGGAGGGACAGCGCAGGAAAGAAGACCCTCTATGAAGTGGATTGATTCAGTGACTGGGATAATCGGGATGGGAGTGTCAGAGACAGTGTGATTGGCATAGGACAGAGTTTAGGGCTGTTGTACATAGGGTCGCTATGAGTCGCAAGCGACTCGATGGCACATAACAACAACAACAATATAAAGGACAAAGACTCAGCAATAACAAGGAAAAGAACTGGAACTGCTTGAAATCCCCAAGAGGGAAATGGGATAATTATAAATTGCACTTCATAGCAAATATACTCGAGTCTTTGATTCCTCTGTACTTTGTTCAATCTTGCCCCTATATTCAAATATCATTCTCCCTTTCTTTTCCTCTTAGCAGAATTCTCACCCTTTAATACTCAGACAGTATAAACCCAAGGATAAAGTGGTGACTAAGGAGCATCAAAGCACAGAGCCAAAATGCTGGGTTCAAACCCCAGTTCCAGCATTTACTAGCTAGCTGTATGATCTCGTATCAGCTACTTACTCCTTACTTTCCTGTAAAATAAGGAAAATGCTTGCTTGCTTTCTAAATATGTCATAGGGACTTCTGGTGGTCAAGTGGTAAGGAGTTGTGCTGTCAGCCCAAAAGCAGGTAGTTCAAATTCACCAGCTACTCCATGGGAGAAAGATGGGCAATCTCCTATATGACATACAGCCTCTGAAAACCTCCTAGAGGGTCAGCACATAATGATGATAACAAATTTGTCACAAGGATTGAGCTAATATATGGAGTTCTTTTAGAAAATACCTTGCAATTATCTCAAAAAGAGTTCATTATTTTCTTTATTACTCTGAGATGATGCTAATGGGACTTGGTAAAAAAGAGATCCTGGTAAGAAGGTCTCTCAAAGGAATGAGATGACAAGATTTGGCAACTCAGCAAAACCTAAAGAAGTATTCTTGAAGACAAACAGATTGAGTTTTAATTACTGTCCTACCCCTTAACTACCCTGTGACTCAGTTTTTCTATCTGTAAAATGGAATGATAATAGTATTATTCTCCGTCATAATTTTATTATTGTATTTATAATATCTGATTTCATTTTACTTGGGTCCACAATCAACACACTTAGAAGTATAGATAGTTTAAGAATCAAATGATGTATTGCATAGGGTAAATCTGCGGTCAAATAATATCCTTGCTAATGAGTTTAAAGATTTTAAAGACTAAGATGCAACTGCCCCCAAATCACGGCACTTTTAATTATATGTATGTGAAAGTAGGACAAGAACAAGAGAGACTTAAAAGAATTTATACATTTGAATCATGATGTTGGCAGAGTTGAATACACATACTATGAACTGTCAAAAGGGCAACCAAATCTGGCTTGTTAGAAGTGCAGCCAGAATTCTTCTTTGAAGTAAGCATGGTATGTCTCACATACTTTTTTACCCCCCTCTGTTGTACATAGATAGAATTGCTGTGAGTCGAAGCTGTCTCAACTGGCATCTCACAACAGTAACAGTATTATAGTCACTTCTTTAGGTGGTTGTTAGAATTGAAGATTCATAATCATGAAGTACCTGTTATGTTAGCTTTTACCAGTCTGGATACATGGAAATGGGAACTCCCAATATCTAGTGCATGTCCCTGGGCCCTCATGGAGGCCCAATAAAGAACCTCTTTATTGCTTCTGAGTCACTTCACCATCCAACTTCGTCATTTGTAAAGTGAAGGTACAGGTGCTTCCACATGTGTCAAGGGCCCTACCATCCTGTGAATGTTAAATCAAAAGTGATTCAAAACCTCTCAGTCAGGGTGACATATTTATTTGTGCTAGTGGCAACACATGGGAAATTTAGGGAGGCGCCTCCTTGACCAGAAGAGTAACACACCCAGTAAAAGAATCCCTACCTGGCCCTGTTTTCCTTCTGCCTCAACTCCCCAGTTAAATGCAGTTAAGCTAGGTATGGCAGTTAGCTAACTATTCTAGCAAACTGAGTGCAGGTTTGGAGAGAGAAGGAGGCTCAAAGTCCTCCAGCAGCCTCTGCTCGTCCTGAAAGCAGGCGCAGTGCCCGGGGCGGCCTCCCGCGCTACCGCCGCCAGGCGGTGCCGCCGTCACCGTAGTGAGCGTCTCACCACCCCCGCGGCCGCCGCACGGGCAGGGCGGGGCGCGGGCCGAGGGGAGGAACCAGGGGCGGCACCCCGGCAAGGTCACGGCGCACCCCGCCCGTTTAGCCTCCAGAGTAGCTGTGGGGGTTCCTGGTCGCTGCTACCCGCCGTGATCAGCTGAGATCAGCAGCCCAGCAGCTGAGGAAGAGGAAAGGGCGGAGCTGCCCGCGGTTGTCAACAGAGCAATCAGCCGAGTGCAGCGAAGGGTGACTAGGTGTCCCCTGCGCCTCCCGGGGCCCTGAGGGCCGGCAAGGGCTGGTCGGGCTGAAGAGAGAGCTAGCCCTGTCCAGGAGGCTTGACAATGCCACACCATGGATTGTCTCCTGGTCAGGGTCACCCCAGGTCCCGCCGGGAGCAAAGATCTTCGGAGGCCTTCAAGAGGGGATGTCTCTGGATGGGCCTGGCACTGGCGCTGGCGCTGCCTGACTCCCTGTGCCTCTGGGTCCCAGCCGGTGCCCACCCTCTGCCCGCCCAAGGCCATCCTGCCAGGCTCAATCGCCTAGCGCCCCGGCTGCGGGACAGCTTTGGGTGGTGGAACCTCACTTGCCCGGCCTGCAAAAGCCTGTTCACCATCATCGACATTGGACTGAAGGTGAGTGCCTAAAGGGCTGCGCTTCGAGTGAAGGTGAGGCGTAATGCGGGAGTGCATCCCGGCCCCAGAGCAGTATCAGCTGGAGAGAGTGAGGTCTGTAAGTCTTCACTGAGTTTGCTCTCCCTTAGGGACATCATGCCTGCTGCCACCCTGCTTTGTGAATAGAAGAGAGCAAATTATTATGCAAACTGTGCTAGCCTTTTGTTAACAAACAAATCAAGCGGATGAGGCTATGGAAAACACAGTTGTTTCTAATACAGACTGTCAGAGAAATGGAGTCGCTTTGCCCAAGGGGGCCCTAGGGGCTGGGGGAGGGAGGAAGAGGAGAGCTATACTGGTTTGTGACCCTGATCCCCACTGTGCTTGTTTTGTTTTGTTTTTTTAAATCCCCACTGTGTTTTACACTCCTTGGCATCTACAGCCCTAAGCACCAGTCCTGGTATTAAGTACCCAGAAAGGAGTTGAATTACAAACAGTCCCAAGGTAGGGGCTAAGTGGGGCTGTCTTGACTCTGTTGGAGATACACAGATGCTGATTGGCCATTGAACTTTTTTAGGACTTCCCACAGTAACAAAGGCATAGGCCCTGCCCTTGTGTGTGTCTCCAAATTCTAGACAGCCTGACACTCTGCCCAGCTCCTGCTCCCTGCAGACAGTACCTTAAAAAAACGTGTTTGAAAGAGTCCTGAGTTGGTGATTTAAAGTTTCTTCAGAAGTCAGATGGTCAAATGAAGATCTGAAATGTCACTGGCCACTGAGTCCAAGGGGTGGTGCTACTGCAAATCACAGGTCAATGAGGGGTGAGAAATGTACTCGTTATCTTCAACATGGTGCCCTGAGACTAGTCAAGGTTCAATATGGTGGCCCCATGAGTAGTTGGAGGTGGAGGTTGACCTGTTTCACTGCCACGTGTCTGACTTGTCACTTGCTCCCACTGCAGCAGGAGACCAGTGTAACCCACGTGGCCTCCATTGCCACCAAGCTATGCAATCTGCTGAAGATAGCGCCGCATTCAGTGTGCCAGTCAGCTGTCCAGCTCTTTGAGAGTGACATGGTGGAGGTGTGGACACGCTCAGTACTGAGTCCATCTGAGGCCTGTGGCCTGCTCGTGGGCTCCAACTGTGGGCACTGGGATGTCTTCTCATCTTGGAACATTTCTTTGCCACCAGTGCCCAAGCCGCCCCCTCGGCCTCCCAGCCCCCCAGCTCCAGGCGCCCCTGTAAGCCGCGTCCTCTTCCTCACCGACCTGCACTGGGATCACGACTATCTGGAAGGTGCAGATCCTGACTGTGCAGACCCACTGTGTTGCCGCAAGGGCTCTGGCGTACCCCCTGCCTCCAGGCCAGGTGCTGGATACTGGGGCGAGTACAGCAAGTGTGACCTGCCCTTGCGGACCCTGGAGAGCCTGCTGAGAGGGCTGGGCCCAGCTGGCCCTTTTGACATGGTGTACTGGACAGGAGACATCCCTGCCCATGACGTCTGGCAGCAGTCTCGTCAGGACCAGCTGCGGGCCTTGAATACCATCACAGCCCTTGTGAGGAAGTTCTTGGGACCTGTGCCCGTGTACCCTGCTGTGGGTAACCATGAGAGCACACCCGTCAATGGCTTCCCGCCTCCCTTCATAGAGGGCAACCGCTCCTCCCAATGGCTTTATGAGGCCATGGCCAACGCATGGGAGCCCTGGCTGCCTGCAGAAGCCCTTCGTACTCTCAGGTACTTGAGATCCATGGAAACCCTGCATGGGGGGTGAAAGGTGGATGAAACTGAAGGAAGCAGGGGCCCGGGGTATCTCTTTCTCCCCTAAGTTCTCAGCACTCCTCATTGGCCTTTCCTAATCGGCCTCACCTTCCCTTTCCACCCTTATCTCCAGCCACCTTCCTTCAGACAGCTAACAGCACTCTTCTCCATGTCCTCATCTGGCTCTCTGCTCGTGCTAGCCTTCTCTAAAATATCCTATCCTCCATCCTGTCTCCACCTGACCAAAGGCTCAGTTCATCTTCATGTGAATGACCTTTGCTTCCCACCCTAGTTCACAGGGAGCTCTGGTGGCCTACTGGTAGAAGCTGTGCTGCAATGTGCCATTTGAATCCACCAGCTACTCTATATGAGGCTGGGCAATCTCCTCTTGTGTGAATTACTGCCTCCAAAAACCTGCTGGAGGATCAGCCATGAGTTCTGACTCAAGAGCACACAACAACTAGCTCACTGTAGCTTTGCTCTGAACTCTACAGCCTCTGAGCCATTTTCAGTCACATGGGCCCTAGAAGTAACATTTGGAAATTCAGCTAGAATGTAAGCCTATTGAGGGTAGAGACAATGCACAAGGCCTCTGCCCTGCACCCCATGCCAAACATGAGGCTGGGCATGCAGGGCCAGGATTATGAGTGAGTGCTGACCCGTGTTCATTTTGTTTCAGAATCGGGGGTTACTATGCCCTGACCCCATATCCCGGCCTCCGCCTCATCTCTCTGAATATGAATTTTTGTTCCCGGGAGAACTTCTGGCTCTTAATCAATTCCACAGATCCTGCTGGGCAGCTCCAGTGGCTGGTGGGGGAGCTTCAGGCTGCCGAGAACCGTGGAGACAAAGTGAGAGAGCAGTGGGGGCAAGGAGTGGGTTGGGATGGGGTTGGATGAGAAGTATGTCCTTCACTATCCCGCAGCTGTTCAAAGCTGGAGCATCTGAGTAAACAAGCTTCATTTTCTTGCATTCCCAGCAAGAGTTTCCCAGGATTCAGCTCAGAGCCCTCTTTGAAAGTTTCATTGCTCCTCCTCCCTGATCAGGAATGCCAGCCACTGTAGGAGAGATGAGGGCCCTGGCAGGGCTGTCTGGACCTCTTGGTCAACCTTTCACCTCCCTTTCAGGTGCATATAATTGGCCACATCCCCCCAGGGCACTGCCTGAAGAGCTGGAGCTGGAATTATTACCGGATTGTAGACAGGTAGACAGCGCGGCTGTGGGGTTATGGGGGATGAAGAGTCTAAATGCTGGATTGAGCAGAACATCTCACCACTGCTACCCCACGTAGCTTCTTACTTGAACAAAATGGGGAAAGAGCTAAAAATCTTCCGACTAAAACGAGTGTCTTCTGACCAGGTATGAAAACACTCTGGCTGGTCAGTTCTTTGGTCACACGCATGTGGATGAATTTGAGGTCTTCTACGACGAGGAGACCTTGAGCCGGCCGCTTGCTGTGGCCTTCCTGGCGCCCAGTGCCACCACCTATATCAGCCTTAATCCTGGTGAGTGGTGGGACAAGAAGTCATTATACGGGACTGGGTGGGAGGGAGGTTAGGAAAACGGAGGCGGGGCCACAATGAAAACCTGGAAAGGGTGGGCTGGATATATGGCCCCTCCCCCGGGCGGTGGCTTACCTCTCCAGACTTTTGCTCCCTCTTTGCAGGTTATCGCGTTTACGAAATAGATGGCAATTACCCAGGGAGTTCTCATGTGGTCTTGGACCACGAGACCTTTATCCTGAACCTCACACAGGCGAATGCGCCTGGAGCCACACCGCACTGGCAGCGCCTCTATAGAGCTCGAGAAACCTACGGGTTGCCTAACGCGCTGCCTACCGCCTGGCATGACTTGGTATATCGCATGAAAGGCGACACGAAACTATTCCAGACCTTCTGGTTTCTCTACCATAAGGGCCACCCGCCCTCCGAGCCCTGCGGCCCGCCCTGCCGCCTTGCTACTTTGTGCGCGCAGCTGTCTGCTCGCGCCGACAGCCCTGCTCTGTGCCGCCACCTAGCGCCCGAGGAGGGCCTCCTGGACGTCCACAGCCAGTGGACCAGGCCGCTGTTCTGCTAGCGCCCTCCAGGCCTAGTGCAGGTAAACTCCGTGTCTTGGGAAGGGAGTGAAAGGCCCAAGACGCAAAAGCCTGCTGTGGTACAACTTAACAAGCACATCCAGTGGAAGAGCCCCATGAGCCGCCCCATCGGGCCCCACGCACACTGGAGAAACAATCCCCTCCCTAGAGCTGGTTGAGCAGGCTGAGGGCTTTTGGCTGTTCTGCCTATCCTGGCACCTAGGCTGCCCTGGGGCTGTTGTCTTTTCATAGCCTTGGAGCTGACACCCAAGTTGACACTGCCCTAGACCAACTAGTCTGGAGCTATAGCTGGAGGCCTAGGTCTCCTGTGCTGCTGTTGCCAGATCCCACCAGGCTATGACAATAAAAGTGTGAGATTTGGACTGGACCTCTCTTTGTGACTATCCTGATGTGTTGTTCCCCCTCCCCCCCTGTTGTTGTGTACCATCGAATCGGATCCAACTGGCATAGGAGAAGACTGCCCCTCCTTCTCCAGCAGAGAATCTAGTGGATTTGAACCGTGTGCCTTCAGGATTGCAGCACAGCCTCTTGCTACTAGGCCACCAGAGCTCCCTATCAGAGAAAAGGGGCCTTGAGAGCAAGTCCTAGATGAGGGATCTGGGTGACGGTAAGCATACGAAGGCAAACAGCTCAGCAGGGCAGACAGACTTTATTTAGTGCTATCAGTACAGGGGAGGTGCCCACAGGACGGGGGAGAGGGGACCCATGCCGGGACCAGTCCCCTCCTTCTGCCCCTGCTGGACCCTACAGGGCTGGGGCATGGTCTTGCTTCCTGCTCCTTGCATCATCAATCCAGTGTTGTCACTTCCTCACTGGGATTAGAATTCTCCCTCCCCAGCTCCTAGGTAGGGAACCCCAGCTACTAAGGAGGGGCAGCTTTGGGGCAGGGGGCTGAGGCCTGAGCAGAGCCTCTAGGGCCCCTCCATGCCCCATACCTTGAGTTCCCTGGAGCTGGACACAAGCAGGTAGGAGGATGATTAGGGATTTCTTCAGGGAGTATGGGCCCCCAGACGTTTGGGCTTGAGAGAGCCCCACAGAGACTGAACGCCCCTGCGGACAGTCCACCCTACACGCCTGGCAACGGACTCGGCTGGGGGTGCAGGGAGGCAAGAGGTGGAGGCCTGGGATCGAGCATCCAGACACTTCTGATAGCGGAGCTGCAGAAAGGTGGGGGGACGGTCACTCCCCAGCCTGCCCCATGCAGGATGGGTGCCACCCCTCCATCCTACCTGCTTACCATGCACGCAGCCTGCACAGCCTCTGAGAGGCTGGCAGCATTGGGCTCGCACCAGAACATGTGGCAGCAGAAGGAGGCTGGGCCGGCAGCCATGATGAATGCAAACGTGTGGACATCTCTGCCCACTGCCAGGAAGGAGAGGAAGCGCACCCGACACTCGCCAAGCACTGCCTCCGTCTGGAGGGAGGAAGCCCAGTTAGAACAGGATACCCTGACCTTCTATGTTCTAGTGGGACAAGCCCATCTCACCTGCCAATCCTCCCCAACCCTGGTCTCCCCTCCTTGGCAGGACTGAGCTATGTCTTCTACTCTAGCCCTTTACCTGCTGGTGCAAGATGGTGAGGGTAGCAGGGGCCACGCTGACATGACTTGGTGTCCACTGTTCACGGCTGCTGGAGGACAGGACTGATTCCAGAGCCCCATTGATCACATCTACCCCTAGAAGATATAAATAACAAACGTGGCACAATTGGGGTCAGAGGACACCCTTCCTCTGTCCTAGACCTTCTACCTTTGCCCAGTCTAGTGCAAGGCCTCGGCCCCATCCCCACACTTCACCAGTCTGGTCCTCAGGACAATACTCTTTCTCTCCCATCCCTGGAGCTCTCCTTGGCATCAGTGACTTGGCACTCTGCTGGTGTCTCCCACCCTGAATCTCATGCTTGCTTTTCTTCACTGACTGCCTCTTTCTCCTAAACTGATGACCCTCAGAACTCTGACTTCCCCAGTACTAACCTCTGACTCTCAGTACTAATCACATTCAGATACTCTACACTTCACTTCCACAACAGTGACTCCCAGGGGAGACTCCACCTGGCAGTCTTCTCCCAGCACCCAATCTTTTATTTTTTTAAGATCTCTATTTGGTGTTTACTCTGTGTCACACTGTGCTGTCATCTATGTAAATTATCTCATTAATGCCTTACAACAATTTCACAATAAATTCTTTTGTACAGATAAGGAAATTGAAGCTAATCAGGCAATATACTTTAGGTCACACCAAGGAATGATGTCTGAATGCAGGAAGCCTGATTTAAGAGCCTGTGTTCTAGCCCTCTCTGCCTCTTCTCTATATTCCTAGTGTGAACTAAATTGTTACGTATTATCAAGTTGGAATGACTCATAGCTGACCCTCCAGTGGGCTTTCAGAGACAGTTTTCAGACATAGAAGACTACTCATCTTTCTCCTTTAGAGCAACTGATGGATCTAAGTCACGTTCCTCAGGGTTGGCAGTGCAACTCCTTCCTACTAAGCCACCAGAACTCTACAGAGAACTAGAGGCACTGTCAAAAATCTCTGCTCCACTCAAGAATTTCTACAATGTGTTCAAAGAATGCAAGTTTCCACGTTTGTAGGTCAACCAACTTTTCCTTGTTAACATAAAGGTTCCTCCACCTCTAACTGCAGAACATTCATTTGCACGTGTCCCACTTTTGCTTGGTACTCATAAAAACAAACAAAAAAACACACACACAAAAACAAACACTGAGCACCATGTCCAGATACCAGACCTGGGTTCCAGTCCCTGGTCTACTCCAGCTGGCTGTATGATCAAGCCTCCTTCCACTTTGAAACAAAATGGTCAGAGCAAACAATGCCAGCACAAAAAGCACACACCCATCTGAGTCACTCTGGAGCCTCTGCCACTTTTGCTGCTTTGAGCGCCCACTAGCATGAAATGAGGGAACCCTGATGGCCTACTGGGTAAGGAGTTGCATTGCTAACCTGAAGGCAGATGGTTCGAATCTGCCAGCTGTTCTGAGGAAGATGGGTAATCTCCAATGTGATTTACAGCTGCAGGAAACCTTTTAGTATGAGTTGGTTTCAATTTGACAGCAATGAGAGTTAGAGAAGGAAACAGGTGGACCCTATGTAGGCAGCAGACAAAGCTGAGGAAAAAAATGCCTTCCTTGAAAGTCCTTCCCTCACTTAACTTTGCTCATCTTAACTCTGGCTGGCTGAAGGCCAACCTCCTCTCCTAAACATACAAGTCCTCCCAATGGTGGCTTCATTTGAGCTGTCAGGCCTCATATTTTACTGTCTCTGTGCTTTAGATGAATTATGTAGTGTTCATTAATATCCAGTCTTCGTAAATACTCTGCAATGCAGATGGAGAATACAAAGCAATAATAGAGGATGATTGGCAGCATCATGATAGATGGTGAAGGGATTGAGATTTTAGTTTGCTTGGCTCCACAATCAACCCTCTTGGTACCAGGAAATTAAAAAGACAAATTGCATTGGAAAATTGGGCTATTGGAGACCTCTCCAAAGTACTGAAGTGCAAGGACGTCAGTCTGGAGACTAAGGTATGCCTGATCCAGGCCATAATCTTTGCAATTACTTGCTATGCATCAGAAATCTGGACAATGACTAGGAATGATAGAAGGAGGATTTAAAAAAAAAAAGTAAAGAAGCAGAACTGATGCCTTTGAGCTGTGGTGCTGGAGAAGAGTACTGAATGTACCATGGACTACTAGGAGAACAAACAGGTTCGTCCTAGAGAGGGTGAGACCAGGCTGATCCTTGAAGGCAAGGATTCTGAAGCTTTGTCTGACATATTTAAGACATGTTGTAAGGCCTTGGAGAGGGACAACATGCTTGGAGAAGTGGAGGGACAGTACAAGAGAGGAAGACCCTCGAGATGGATTGACTCAGTGACTGGGGTAATGGGGATAAGTGTGTCAGAGACAATGAAATTCGCACAGGATAAAGCAGGGTTTAGGGCTCAGTTATAAGCTATCCCTTGAGGAAAGAATGGACCACCCTTTCCTCCATGATTGCTTGAGAAAATCCCCATTCTCAGCCTTCTGCATTATGGTCTCTCCTGAGAAGCCTTCCCTGTTGGAGAAAGAACAGCAACCTCTGAGATGACGCTCATTATACTATCTTGTCTCTAGTGGACAATCTTTGGCCACATTTGACTGTGGCCATCTCAAGTACAGTGATACGGGCTGAAATGTGTACCCTAAAATACTTGTTGGACTCCTAGTCCCATTTGGGAATACAGTTTTCTTTGTCATGTTCATAAAGACATGCCTGTATGGAGTGTTAAACCTAATGACATTCTGACATTTAAAAATTTAGAGATTAGTTATACAGAGGCCAAGTACAGGGTAGGGGCAAGTCTTGCAGAGATCACCAGAGAGTACAAGGACTTTCCCTGAAAATGGATAGAGAGCTAGCGGACAAGTTAACTTGTGAGAAAATAAACTTCTGTCTTTGAAACCACCCACCTGTGGTATTTCTGTTACAGCAGCACCAGGAAAATAAAACCAACAATGGCTATACTCTGTGTCCCCAATCCTAACACAGGCCTTATCTGATGAAAGAATTCCACACGAATGAACAAGTTACCCTCAAGGGAGCAGGGACATATACACCTAAACTGGTAGAACCAAGTGACACAGAAGTCCCCAGAAGGGTGATGATGCAGGCACAAGTGGGTGGGGGCCAGTTCAGATTGTACAGGACCATAAAAGCCAGGTGGAAGGGTGTGATATTTATGGTATCTAGGCCAGGACAATGGAGAATCTAAAAATTCATGAGTGTGGGAGAGATCTCAAAAACAAACTTGAAGACACAGAATGGCATATGGGGCTGGAGCATGGTATTGGAGCCTGGGAATATCTGCATGGGGTCATGGGTTAGGGAAAAGCAGCAGTAACTCTGGAGAAAAGTAGCTTTGAAAAAGGCTGTGAGATCTGACAACAACTCAGGACTACAGTCTAACCTTAGCCCAC